TCTCCAGCTGTCTGCTCTACCCATTCAGCACTCACTTGAGTGTTGGGCTGTAGAAATGGTGGGAGGGGCTGGCTTAGGCTCTCAGAGGTTCGCTGAGAGGCTGAGCCAAGTGCTGGTCCAGGCTTCTGTGTGGATCCTGACCACATGGTCGAGATCTTTTCAGAGACTGGACAATCTCTGTGATGTCAGCCAACAGTAGGCTAAAGCTGGGTCACAGGAGTGCAGAACTAACTGCACTCCCGTGATCCATAGGAGAAATATAGCCAAAAAAGTTTTTGCTATACATCTCACTTAAATATTATTGATTCCAACTTTTATTTTAACGCTCCATGGGGTTAAATCCCACTTTGTTCACACTCATTCAATTCAGTGTGTGCAAGCTGAACACATAGTTATATAACACATATAAACAATTAACCACTCCACATAAGTAGCAGACTGAAGAAAGGGGAAAATGCTGTTTAAAAAGTGATGGAAAAGGAGAGAGAAAAAAAGGGGAAAAAGTGTTTTCTGAAAGAAGAAGATAAAACACTTGTACCACAAGCAACTACCAAGCAGTGAAAAGTACAACTCCCGATTCAGTGGTTTATAAATAGGCACTTTTGTTTCATGTTCAATTTCCATGAAAAACAATGTGCTGCAAGCTGGAAAACTAATGCAAATATATTGAATATATTTTTAAATATTAGTATAGGAATAATTACTTTTTTCCTTCACAAGAACAAAGAACTTTAGGATTTGAACATATTTATCTGTGCAACATCTGGATCCTGAAAAACAATAGCTACGTTTTGGACTAGAAAAATAAAAAATAAAAAAAAATCTTGCACGCTTCTATGGATCAAAACACAAAACTCACTCCTAGTGAATGTGAAAAAATATTAAAACATGAATTATTATAGCATAAGTTTTTATGCAGCCGCTATAACACACAACCCTTTTCTCATAAAAGGCAAAATCAATAATACAGTGAAAACAGTGCAGTGCTACATATCATAAACCTAAATCCTAGTGTGTTTAGGAAAAAGTAATAATTGGATATAAATAAAGAAATAAATAAAAAATAAATAATATTATAAAAAGTCCAAATAATTTTCTTCCCTGTGGTATCCCCTTCCTCCTGTGTTCACCAAGTGCTTTAAACACAAAAGTGCCCAATTCCAGCACCAGATGTCTGCTCACCTCCAGCAGCATGACCTCACATAATATTATGCTTGGTCTAACTGCACTTTTGGTCCCACAATGGACTCTGAAGATCACATCCCCCAGAAGAAGCCATGTGACCCTGTGGCGCAACGCGTTGGTGAGGGGCATCGACGTCACCACGGCAACCCGACTTCTGACACGGCGATTGCAGGCAGTGAGCGCAGACACTCGGAGGGAGCAGGACATACCTGGACTGAGCAGTTATACTCAGTAATTGTTGATTTTAACTGAATGTGAGTGCATAAAGGAGAGCAATAAATTTATGGATTTTTAAAACAATAAAGCACCATATATTTTTCTGTTTTCCACTATACTAACGAGGAATTAAGGGAGAAGGAAATATTTCCACTATACTAACGACGAATTAAGGGAGAAGGAAATATATCCACCAACTGTGCAAGGAGGCAGAGACTGCCAGTTTCCATCAGGAGCCATCCAGCCACTTATAGAGGAGCCCTAAAAGGATCCCAGCATTACTACATTCATATCAAAGATCCCACCAACACCTTATTACTATACAGCTGTGTTAGCCTAGTAATAGGCTAACAAGGAGGTGAGCGCATAATAATAACAACATCCAAGACAAGTTTTATTTGAGACATTCATTTGGACTTTTCACATTTACATGTTTCACAGATATATTTGATTATTCATTATTTAAGTTTGGGCATTTTATTATTTTTTTTAGTTAAATACCATTGTATTCTTTTTTATATATATATATATATATATATATATTGTCTTTCATTCAATTTTCTTTTCAGAATTATATCACAATTGTCATAGATCAACCAATTATTCTTTGTAAAAGCGTGGCACCATTTACCATATTATATTCTAGTTCACACAAATGAGGATGTGATTAGGAGCCTGCTAGCTTTCATATTAATATTTAGCATATTATCCTAGTGGCTCACAAGTAACCCAATTAATTCTTTCTTCGGACTCTGAAGATCAACTTGGTGGATAATAACTGTTATCATTTCGTTCGGAGTACACCTCTCACCACCAGTTTATCTCATAAATAAAAAACTTCACTTAGTGTGTAAAACTTTAAAACATTTATTTAAAAAAAAAAAACATATCCAAATGCGCACTCACATGTAAAAGGTGCCTGACCGTAAGTATGGAAAGCCTCTAATAATGCTCCACAATCTGAAGAAGCTGTGCCGTGGGAGTCAGCTCTAATAAAACTGTAGTGGTGTACCTTCCAATTAAGTCACCATTTAATATACTAATGACCATAAATCGCAAGTGCTATATACAGTCAGGTCCATAAATATTGGGACAATCGACACAATTCTAACATTTTTGGCTCTATACACCACCACAATGGATTTGAAATGAAACAAACAAGATGTGCTTTAACTGCATACTGTCAGCTTTAATTTGAGGGTATTTACATCCAAATCAGGTGAACGGTGTAGGAATTACAACAGTTTGCATATGTGCCTCCCACTTGTTAAGGGACCAAAAGTAATGGGACAGAATAATAATCATAAATCAAACTTTCACTTTTTAATACTTGGTTGCAAATCCTTTGCAGTCAATTACAGCCTGAAGTCTGGAACGCATAGACATCACCAGACGCTGGGTTTCATCCCTGGTGATGCTCTGCCAGGTCTCTACTGCAACTGTCTTCAGTTCCTGCTTGTTCTTGGAGCATTTTCCCTTCAGTTTTGTCTTCAGCAAGTGAAATGCATGCTCAATCAGATTCAGGTCAGGTGATTGACTTGGCCATTGCATAACATTCCACTTCTTTCCCTTAAAAAACTCTTTGATTGCTTTTGCAGTATGCTTTGGGTCATTGTCCATCTGCACTGTGAGCGGCGTCCAATGAGTTCTGAATCTAATTGGACTGTCCGATGCTGATCGCCCATATAAATAGACCCCGGCGCCATTTTATTGTAGACAATTAAGGCGCACTATTTTAGAGGTGATAAATACTAAGTCCTGAGTGGCCCAAACCTCACAGGAGATAATAACTAGTCCAAAGCTGACTATGCAAGTGAATAGTCCAAATAAGGATGAATCGTCACTACTCAGCACAGATTCTCAGATATCCTGGGCTAACATATACACATTACAACAATTATCAGCATATACGACTAAACTTTCCCCGCCCACAACGTATACAAATATGGAAATATAAGTTACATGCGGTGCTTACCAGACTGAACTGTACCAATCTTGATTGTGCTATTTATAGTGGATAGTTTAGCAATTCTTTGACATATCATTTATGCAGTGGTGTGCTTTTCTTTCAGGTTTAACTGTAAAAAAAATAGATATATAGATAGGTTATGAAAAACTAAAATAGGCTGATAGTATGAAAACCATATTTAAGAAGTTACCTAGCTTCCAACACCTAATGTCCCAGGAATGACTACAGCCACGTTGTACAATAGATCTGAGTTATGGAGCTTTCTGCTATCTAGATAAACAAACTGGATGTGACTGTTGCTATTTTTTGGTTGCAAAAACTTTAGTTAATTAGTAATGTATGACCGATGATGGGTTATTAACAGCATCTATGAAATATAATTACAACTACCGTATTTGCCGGCGTATAAGACGACTGGGCGTATAAGACGACCCCCCTACTTTTCCTGCTAAAATGTAGTGTTTGGGCTATACTCGCCGTATAAGACTACCCCTCTTCCAATGCACACCAGTGGGAGGAATAGTGCCCCATCATTGATGTCAGTGGGAGGAATAGTGCCCCATCATTGGTGTCAGTGGGAGGAATAGTGCTCCATCATTGGTGTCAGTGGGAGGAATAGTGCCCCATCATTGGTGTCAGTGGAAGGAATAGTGCCGCATCATTGGTGTCAGTGGGAGGAATAGTGCCCCATCATTGGTATCAGTGGCAGGAATAGTGCCCCATCATTGGTATCAGTGGCAGGAATAGTGCCCCATCATTGGTGTCAGTGGGAGGAATAGTGCCCCATCATTGGTGTCAGTGGGAGGAATAGTGCCCCATCATTGGTGTCAGTGGGAGGAATGGTGTCCCATCATTGGTGTCAGTGAGGGGTGGAATAGTGCCCCATCATTGGTGTCAGTGGGGGGTGGAATAGTGCCCCATCGTTGGTGTCAGTGGGGGGGGGAATAGTGCCCCATCGTTGGTGTCAGTGGGGGGGAGGAATAGTGCCCCATCGTTGGTGTCAGTGGGAGGAATAGTGCCCCATCGTTGGTATCAGTGGGAGGAATAGTGCCCCATCATTGGTGTCAGTGGGAAGAATAGTGCCCCATCATTGGAGTCAGTGGGTGTCACTGATACCAATGATGGGGCACTATTCCTCCCACTGAGACTTGCTGACCCTGTTCTCGTATGGTGCTGCTGCAGCCAGCATATGTGGTTGCAGCAGCACCTCTACACAGAACACTTACCTGCTGCTCCGGCACTCAATTTTCGCGGGGCCGCTCGGCTCCGAACCCCCCTCGCCGGTGATTGGCCGCCTGTGTGCCTTTCCTGAGCTACAGTTCTGGCGGCCAATCACCGGTGAGGAGGCGGAGCCGAGCAGCCGCACGAACATCCAGTGGCCGAACTGAAGGAGACGCCGCGCTTCCTGGACCGGATCGTCGTGGGACTGGATCCAGGTAAGAGACATCAGCCCCTGCAAACCCCTGTACTTAATGCCGCAGCCCCCCTAACATGTGTACCGGCGTATAAGACGACCCCCGACTTTTGAGAAGATTTTCAAGGGTCAAAAAGTCGTCTTATACGCCGGCAAATACGGTAAGTATTACCTGCCCCTGAAATATGGTCCTGAACAGGGGCGGACTGACAATTCATGGGGCCCCTAGGCAATAGGGGATCGTGGGGCCCCTGTGTCCTTGCCCAAACTCAAAAAAGCCTATGAAAAAAGTACCAGGGGCATCTTATGGGCCCCCTACTGACCCCGGGCCCTCAGGCAGTGCCCGAGTTTCCAAATGGTCAGTCCGCCCCTGGTCCTGAAGTGTGTGGAGAGAACCCAGTGATATTCCCTGTGATCTGCCAGCCAAGGTTTTAAACCTTTGGGGAACTCTGTCATCAATGCCACAAAACTCATTTAGCATACATTATCTATCAAACATCTGTGAGGACACATGCATTGAAATGTATATAAAGCCTAACATTGAACTTTTCTTATTTGATCCCTTTCAGTTTATTTAAGAATAACATTGAAAGTATTTTTTATATATTTTTTGTAATGTGAAATAAACTGTAGACCTTCTAAGGAATTCAAAACTGCCCTGTGTCTCGTTCATGCTATCTCCAACACCCATCCTAGTTCTTTCCTTCCACTACAGAATGATTTAGCCTTTATGCTGTGGAGAGTGTGGGAGCATGCGGCAATGTTTGAGTAGTTTTAATAAAAGACAATGGGCAGGACTGACAACACTTAGCCCAAAAGTGCCATGTGTGCTTAGTGCACAAAGGCCTTAATACTTAAGTGCATTTCTGGCAGATTAACAGGCATTTTTCTGTACTTGCGGGTTCTATAAAACACTGAGAAGTATACAAGTATTGCAGACTGTATTGCCTTTTTTGATTTGCCATGACATACATTTTAATATATGTCAGATGTGTGTTACTGCATGCATATACTGTATACCTGTTAACAGAGTTTAACAGGGGTTACATCCAAAAGCCAAGAAAAAAAAAGCAGAGATATTGCCCTTGTCTACCGATTCGGCTATAGCTAAAATTTTTCAAACAAAAGTTTAAAGAGATAATCTGAACAATAGCTGCTGAAAATACATGACAATTTGTTTTCCTACACATTTATGGTGGACGACTTTCTTTCTTACATATATCCAATTATCATATGATGTTTGTAGCCACAGTGCCCTTCTACTTGTACTAAATAATAATACTAATATTATACAGTGAACAGATCAGAAATTACTTAAATGTGCCAATCAGTCTAGGTAAGAGTGTGTATATACATTGGAAAAGTTCCCAATGTAATGGATATAAAGATAATTTAACCGAGAAATAACAGCCCTGCAGCAATATGAGAACTCTCTAGCTACCTACAGTACATAAAACAGATACTCCTAGCTACCAGAGTAAATAGCAACAAACTGATATATAGATTTCCATACAGATAAACACACAGCATTCTATAATTAGAATACTGATGATAATAGTAATTACATCATCTGCTTTTTTCATTCAAAGTTCATTTCATGGGAAATCATTGCCAGCCAATGCTCTTCTGTGTGACCTACGGACTGACCTTTTTTTCATACAGGGATCAAATATGAAGACACGTAATGAAAAAGAACATCCCTGAGCTACTCCCAAACTACAAAATAGGACAAAGTTTGTGTGCAAAGTACCGTATTTTTCGCCATATAAGACGCACCTGACCATAAGACGCACCTAGGTTTTAGAGGCAGAAAACAGGAAAAAAAAATTCTGAACTAATGGACTGCAGACACAGTACAGGAGATGACCAGAGACTGCGGACAGCACAGGGATGACCAGAGACTGCGGACAGCACAGGGATGACCAGAGACTGCGGACAGCACAGGGATGACCAGAGACTGCGGACAGCACAGGGATGACCAGAGACTGCGAACAGCACAGGGATGACCAGAGACTGCGGACAGCACAGGGATGACCAGAGACTGCGGACAGTACAGATGACTGCTGACCTTTGGGAGGTGGGGAGCGGGTACCTGAATTTGACAGGTACCACGCTCTTACTTTCGCGGAGTTTTTGTTTGATTTTACCTGTTCCTCGATCCAGCCGCGCGCTGTCTTCCCGGCTTCTGTAATGGCGCTCGGCATGACAGCCGGGTGCCCAGTGCGCATGAGCGAGAAGCACTTGCGCTTTGTGATTGGTCCGGCGGCTTCTGGGATCTGTCATGTGTCCCAGGTACCGCCTTACCATTCACAAAAAGCACTGCTTCTTGCGCATGCGCACTTGGCACACGGCTGTTATGCCCAGTGCCCACACTACAGAAGCCGGGAAGACAGCACGCCGCTGGATAGAGGAACAGGTAAGGTCCCGCTGCAGAGCTGAGCTGCCGGCCCGGTATTCTGACATGGCCGCGGTGGAAATACCGGACCGGGCTGCTCCATATTCGCCCCATAAGACGCACTGACATTTTCCCCCCAGTTTTGGGGAAGAAAAAGTGCATCTTATACGGCAAAAAATACGGTACTCATGCCTAAAAATCACTTGAAAATCTAATTCAGGACTACTGTGTTCATGTAGTAAACGTATTTTATGATGTAGTAATGCATTTTTTTTTTCAACTGTAAATATTGGGATCATCTGTACAGTAAAAAAAAAAAATATTTTACTGAATGTGGCAGAAAATATAGTCATAGGCAAGTTGTATGATGGCACAATGAGGATCTTAAAATACATTTACTAAGACAAAAACATTGAAATCCATAAATAGCTAGCAGGATTGGGCATAGCCTTAAAATCAAAACCTAAGAACAACATGTAAAATATTGAACCTTTCCAGAACAGGATATACAATATTTAGACTAGAATTTGACTGCACTAGTTTTCTCCAGGGTAAGGCTGCCAGTAACACACCTCCTATTTTAGGGTGACAATGCTTACTGTTAGTTGATGGGCCAAACACCCCTTTGTTTGGTTCGCAATGGAACGTTCGAACCTAATGAATTTTTGACCGCGAAGTTCGAACTCAATGCAAGTCTATGGGACTCGAACTTGTAAATTCAAATGTGCCCATTTTGAAGGCTTATAATGCAAGTTATTGGCTATAAAAGGGATATGGGGACTCGGTACTGCCCTGAGGGACATGAATGAAAAAATAAAAAGGTTACCGCTTTTAAAGGGGCAGTCAGTTTTCATTGCTTAAAGTAAAAAATAAAATAAAATGAAAAACTACTTTAAATATCCCCTTAAACTACCTGCCACAGATTTGCACATCTGTACAATGTATAGAACCCTTTAGGCCTGGTTAGGACTTTTAAGGAACTCCACCCCAAAAAAATGGGGGGGGAAGCGTGGGTCCCCCCTAAATTCCTACCAGACCCTTGATCCGAGCACAGGCCTGGCAGGGCAGGAAAGGGGGGTGATCAAGCACATGCCTTCGGCATCGGGACAATGTCCCCATGCTGATGGGGACAAGTGCCTCTTTCCCACAACCCTGGCCCGGTGGCTGTCGGGGTCTTGGGCAAGGGGGTCATTAGCATCAAGGTGCCCCTTTAAATAAGGGGGCGCCCTTTAAATAAGGGGGCTCCCTGATGCTCCCCCCTATAAATGAGTATGAGTACTTGTACCCCTACACATTCATAAAGGGTAAATTTAGAAAAAAATTCAGAAACAAGTCTGTCGAAAAATTCCTTTAATTGAACAAGTCTTTAAAAAAAATGGTTCCATCATTGTAATCCATTGTCAATCACAGCGTCCAGCATTGTCACAGTGTCAACGACAGTGCTCGCTGGGAAATTTAAAAAAAACCAAAGGCCCGCCGAGCACTCACCGCAGTTTGAACAGATCTGACATTTACCAGTCAGATGTAAACAATTAGGCAGAGCAAACGGTAACGTCACCGTTGATGTCACCGCTACCTCTGCCCAATTGTGCTGTGAACTGCCAACGCATTGCAACTGTGGTCAGGTGCATTGCTGTGGCCAATCATTATGAGAGCGCAGTGCATTGTGGGGCGATCGGCAGGTGAACAGATCGCCGAACACCCTTACCATTCATGTGTTCGGCGAAAACACAAACAGCCAATGTTTGATTCAAAACTTACAGTTGTGGCCAAAATTATTCAACCCCCAATGCTGTAAAGGGGTTTAGGGATATAGTGTACATTTGGAATTGTATTCAGAATCAAATCCTACAAGGACGTTGTAACTACCCAAATGCAACTAAAATGACATCAATTGTTATGTTAATACAGTAGTAAATGGTTCTTATGTGGTTTCTTCATTGCCACAATTATTCAACCCCCTTAAAGACTACCCACTCTGAAGAACAGAGGTTCATACAGGTGCTTTCCATCAGGTATTGAAAACACCTGTGTGGAATGTCACCGAGCAGCAATCAAGCATAATAAGCACCAATTATGGCGGCAGCTTTAAATCGATGACTGTGATACTCAGCTCCTTCTAGACATTTACTGGTGTGGTTACAAACATGGCTTGAAGGCAAGAGAATGTGCTCCAGGGAAGACAAGAGAAGAGGTGATTTCTCTTCACAGGAAGGGGGGGGGGCAATGGCTATAAGAAGATTGCAAAGATGTTAAACATACCAAGAGACACCTTAGAAGCATCATTCGCAAATTCAAGGCAAAGGGCACTGTTGAAACGCTACCTGTCGTGGCAGAAAGAAGATGCTGACTTCGACTGCTGTGCGCTACCTGAAGCGTAAGTGGAGAGAAGCACCCCGTGTGACTGCTGAGGAACTGAGAAAAGATTTGTCAGATGTCGGGTACAGAAGTTTCAGCCCAGACAATAAGACGCACACTGCGTAATGAAGGCCTCCGTGCCAGAACTCCCAGGCGTACCCCCTTGCTGTCTCCAAAGAATAAGAAGAGTCGACTGCAGTATGCCAAAAGCCATGTGGACAAACCACAAAAGTTGTGGGATAGTGTTCTGTGGACTGATGAAACAAAATTAGAACTGTTTGTGGGCCCATGGATCAACGCTATGTTTGGAGGAGGAAGAACAAGGCCTATGATGAAAAGAACACCTTGCCTACTGTGAAGCATGGTGGAGGGTCAATCATGCTTTGGGGCTGTTTTGCTTCTGCAGGTACAGGGAAGCTTCAGCGTGTGCAATGGTACCATGAATTCTCTTCAGTACCAGGAGATATTGGATGGAAACGTGATGCAGTCCGTCACACACCTGAGGCTTGGGAGACGTTGGACCTTTCAACAGGACAATGATCCCAAGCATACCTCCAAGTCCACTAGAGCATGGTTGCAGAGGAAAGGCTGGAACATTTTGGAGTGGCCATCGCAGT